TCACCCGTCTAGCCAAGGAGTGTAGCATATACACTGGAGAACTACAAGCAATCTTCAACGAACTCAACCAATGTACCAGCAATGATATAAACTTTCTTATCATATCAGATTCTTTGAGTGCCTTAAATGGTGTCAAGCAGATGTATCCAACTCATGCCAATTTAGCACTCATAAAAGACATGCTATACATTGCCCAAACACGTGGTAAAAACATAAAATTTTTATGGGTACCATCCCATGTTGGAATAAAGGGTAACGAAGCAGCTGATAAAGCAGCAAGAGAAACTATCAATAACACGACAATTCCTATGATGCAAAACTTACCGATCTCAGACCAAAAAACATTAATAAAAACTTATATTAACAAAACCTGGCAAGTAAAATGGAACCAAACAGAAGCAAAATTAAAAATTATCAAACCAGATGTTACTTCTGCTTTACTACCGCTTCCAGCTCAAAGACATAACCAAGTAATTATTAACAGACTGCGGCTAGGCCATACAAAATTTACACATGGATACATCATCTCCAAGGACCCTCAGCCGATTTGCCACACCTGTCAAATACCATTTTCAGTACAACATATTATGATAGACTGTCCAGTGTACTCAACAGCAAGATCGACAGCAAAAATAAACCACAATTTAAAAGAAACTCTAGAAGAAGACATCAATAACACAATAAATTTTATCAAAAATTGTAAACTCTATAACAAACTGTAACATAACATAAAATGTTTATTTTCCTATGTAAATTTTAACAACATATTAATGTAACTTTTCTAAAATAAAGATATACCACCCCGCTAATAACCCTAGCGGTTGATGCGGTAAAAAAAAAAAAAAAAAAAAAATTAAACAAATTTTGTTTTTTTTTTGTTAATTGGTGAAAAATTCTTCTGTTTTAATTTTATCTGACTCATTTCTATTGACAATTTAGACATAGGTATATTATACAATTTAAAGTAGACAACTTTAAAAATGATATTGCCAATATTGCTGAGTTGCGTTCCTGAGACGACTTTATTTTAAGATAGTTCATTCGATTACATTAAATCAACTTTCAACTTACAATCTTCGTTAGAAAAATCATAGCATGTGATTAGTCTTTAAAAAGACAACGACATGCCATGATGGCAGTAAAGTTCCCCTGTTAGTGATTCCATAGTAAATCATGATGAAAAATTTAGGAAAAAACCTCATACTATCCCGACATGGTAAGTATTTGGTCTTACATTTAGTTTATTCTCAAAATAAACACCACCTTCTGTATGTTATTTAAAACAAATATATATTTGATCTATCCTCGATATTTTTCTAACTTACTAATAGTGGTATTTTCCTTTTAACTTCCCCTTTTAATATGGGTAACCAGGTCCTACTGCATTCTGTCGAGAAATTTGCGACATAATTGGTCTCATTTAGCATAATTAGAGCCGGTTCTTTGATTTTTCTCGTTTTACCATGTTTCTTTTAGGAGTATAATTAAATCGTTCCATTGAACTCTTATTCATTTTCCCATGCGTGTTTACATATTTGAGATCTATCAAATTCTCTATTTTTAATATAATATCGATGTTCACTTATTCTAACATTGAATGGCCTTGATGTTTCACCTAAATAAAATGATCGCATTCACAAGGTATTTTATAAATACATGTGTATTTTATAAATTCATTCTTTGTTCTTTCTTGTTCATTGTTAGGTTTAGTTTTAGATAAAATAGATCTCAATGTGTTTAGGTTAGGTTAGGTTAAGTCGAGCCGATACACCAGCAGTATGAGTAGCAATCTATTAGAATTTGAAATTACTACATTAACCTTTTATTTTCTAGCCGGGGTCTAAACTACCGACGGCTAGATTATTCACAGTGAAGTGAATACGATTAATTACAAATAAAAGAATAAAATTTATAACTCAACAGGAATGTATACTTTAATACAAATTTTATAAAAAATTGGTACAATTTATTACCAGCTATTAATACGGGTAGACGTCATAATACACGTATGTATAATATATACATCAATTCTAAATAATTTTATAATTTACCTAAGGATTACTAATATACAAAATGTACAAAATTTAAACCTAAATACTTATCTAATATGAATATTATCACAATGTTGAGAAATTTCCTAACGTTACAGTTATATTTAGAAATACAATCTACTGCTACATTATGTAGGTGTTAAAATAATTTTTGGCAATACTTAAACTTTTTTAATCTACGAATATTTGATCGATAATAAATTGTCATTATTTGCCGAAAGCTAATCAGATCAATGGCAATGTCGACAAAGTCAATGGCAATCAAATTTTCGTTAAGTAAATTACAACATCAAATAAGAAATTGCTAATTTAGTAGTTGTAGTACAAGTGTATGAAAAAGGAAATAAATACCCGCTTACTGGAGACAGACTGTGTCTAGTTTATAAAAAGTGAGACTTCCTATGCTGGAATATCAAATACCACTTCAGCTTATTCAACACTTATAGGTACAAATAGTAGAGACAGAATCGTGAATGACATTCTAAGACCCTACTATACCGCCGAGCATAAAATCAGGATCACCACATGATTTGAAGTTATTTAGAAACTTTATTTTTTTCGTAATTTTTTGGTTGTAACAGTTATTATTTCGATAAGCGTTTGACAAAAAAGGTCCAGTCACCCATATTCCTAAAAACTATTCTTGGCACAGTTTTTGTTTATGCGGTTGTATATGTCGATTGCACGTTGTTCGTACAGTAAGATCATTGTGAATGCATTGCAATGAGCATAAATTTTGCTATTGCGGCAAGAATTGTGACACCCTCAGAAAATGACCGGTTAGCGTAAACGTTGATGTAAGCCTCTCGAGTCTGCAACAAGTATGACAGCGGTATAGACTGGTCTGTTACTCAAAACTAGTTTAGGGTGAAGGAGGACTACAACAGCTAGAGATGGATGTTTTCTTATTTGCAGTATTTGAAGAAACCAAAAGATCAGGCAGTTTCCTTGCAAAATCATCTGCAAAAAGTGAGAAATGTGAAGAAGACACTTTAGGAGGCAACTTAATGCTGATGGATTATGTTCCCAAACTAGAATTATTATTAAATCACACACTTTTCGGGGAACATCTAATTGCCAGATAATTTTTCTGATGATTCTCGATTTGGTAATACGGATTCTGTCCTCGGGTATGCGTATCATAAACTTTTTTGTAATCGAAATCCGTAAAAAAATCCGAAACATCTAAATATTTTTAAAATGACTAAACTGTGGAATGATCCTAGTTTTATGCTCGACAATGCATTTTAAAAATGCATTAAAACAGAAGCACCTAATGTGCCTTTTTCAACCTTTTACTGGAAAAAGTAATTTGAGAGTTCGAGGTTAATATGAATAATACACTTAGGTAATTCTATACAAGTCCTCGGATATGTAGATATGATTATGAAGTTTTGTTCATAACTATTTATAATATAATAATAAATCTTTTAAATTTTGTCTGGACGTACATATTGCATTCCTAGACACTAAAAAAATTGATGAATCGGTTAATAACTTTAAATTTTCAAACTTACAGTACAGTATAGATTCCGGTAATTTAAAAGAGATTCAACACATTAACCGCAATTAAATAAAATCCGTTATAGGTATTTACATACACATCTAAAATGTTTTTGTAAGGTACTCAGATATATATTAATGAAAGAAAAAAGGGAATGACAGACTGAGAAAACTACTGGCAGATCCTTAATAAAAACATTAGTCCATATTTACTACGCAAATAACAAACGTATATGTGGCAACCTTGAAGCTACGTAGAATATTTTATAATGTGCGCAAACTCGCTTGACTTCTTTTTCCAAATGAATGAATTTTGGTCATTTTACAATATTGTATATTTAACGGGGAACTGTGGTATTTACAAATGGTTTATACATTTTATATAACAAAGGCTATTTAGTATTTTGATAACATTTTCCTCTTGCTACTTTTCGATTGACTACTTTTTATAAATTTTTTTGCATTTTTTTTAAAATCATTTTTACATTTTTCATACGTTTCCGTAATAAAAAAAACACGAATATTTTGTCTTTTTTAGAAGGCTAAGTCCAAAAACAATTCGCATTTTTAGCGACCTTTATTAATGTAAACAAATACTAATTACTTTGAGCAATAGAATTTTTTAATTGAAATTTTAAAGCAATAATAGTTATTTTGGTATGGTACCCACGATACAGTTAAAAAAGCAAGTTACGGATTGGTTCCGAATGTTTTAAAATTTTAATGTTGACTACCACAAGAGTATGGAAGCTTATATTTTTGATGGTTAGTTAAAAAACTAACTACATAATCCCAAACTTGGGATGAAAAATTATTTGTATTTATAAGATTTTTACAAAAAAAATATTTAATATTGCCGAAAATTATGGAACCATTATACTAGGACTTCCTCCTATTTTTGTGTTTTCTATCCTATAGTTAATTTGGGGATAATTAAAATCAAGCATAAGGCGCGCATTTCCTAAATTTGATAAAAAGGTAATCGATCATTAATAAATATCTAATATTACCAAAGACTGGCAGAAAAGATTCGCCAAAGTGATCGAAGTTAATAAACACTATAAAAAGATTGGGTACTTCCAGATTAATGGTGAAAATAAATTTATTATTGAATTGAATTGATGATTCTGGCGCAGAAATTACGGAAGAAAGACAAATTGAACTAAGTGCATCAATATTTAAGGTAACGCCTTGTTGTTGTTGTTGTTTGTTTGTGTTTAAATGACTGCGGACACTAAATCCATTCGCCAATCTTACAATTTGAGGTGTAGTGTGTGTGTGTGTGTGTGTGTGTGTGTGTGTGTAGAGTAATTGTCTTGATACTTAGCAAAGTCGACGTCATTGTCTTTGCTAAGAGACGCTAATTGTATCCGAACGTCTGCGGTCCCTCCGGTGTGTACCGATCACACAAGGATAGAAATTATTTTCATTTATTATTTTTTTTTTAATAAACGAAAATTTCCACCCAGGTGGGATTCGAACTCACGACCTTTAGGTTTAAAGGCAGGCGCTCTTACCACTGAGCCACAGAGGGGGTTGTAATGCCTTGTTAAATGTTGTGTCGTGCAATTAATATTCAGACCAATTACAAGTGTAATAATGAAAAGACTCTCGTTAAAAAAAAAATTAGGTTTTGTATTTATGAACTAAATAAAAAAGAGCGGGAACATGCTTGCATTTTTGCTGAATTTTAAAAATTTTGAACTGTATGCTTACTTTAATTTTAGATTTAGGTACGTAACTATGTTGCCATAAAGTTCTTTTACTACCAACAATTTTAAAAATAATAAGAGTAATTAAAGAAACTATTCAGTATTAATGTAAGCATACGGTAAGAAGGAAAGTCTGTAAAGCTAAATGTAAATAAAAAGTGGTCAAAAGTAATTTTAGCATATATGATATGTTCTGCTTTTACATACTTTTAATTACATATTTAATTACCAGAAAAAAACCAGCTGCCGCACTATAGCTTAAAATAGAACTATCAAGATCTGGCCATTCTACTATATTTGTTACTTGTACTATACAAGGAAGAGAACACTTCGGTATTAGATTTTGATTCGATGTGTTTTATTTCTTTACTTCGTTTGGAGTACCAGAAATCGAATTCACTACGAATATTGGCCATGATGAACGGCATTTGGAGTGCAATTTTAGATTCCCTTGCCAATTTATTCATCAAGCTGTTTGCTTCGCAAGTTTTAGGAAGCACGGTGGCTGATATTTGAATTCGATTTCGTCAGGTAGAAATCGTATGATTTCTCTATTTATTCTAAAATATTTTTTGAATTTTTACTAAGCTAACTATGTATTTGAATAAGCAAATGAAAAGGAGTTCGGTAAATGACTAAATTTACAGGGCCGGACGAATGACTTAACTTTAGTACAGAAATTACAAAAAATAGGACAGTATGAACTAAATAACATTCTTCCTTTGTTTTGACTCAGAACTGGGGAATGTTAAAGTTTGAAATTTGGTTCAATCTAACAAAAGTGTTCTGCTTTACAGGAATCATCGATGATTGTTCACTTCTCACTCAATTATAAAATCAACTCTTTGTTCTACATAATTTTCTAGCAGTAGATCGAATTTACGGCATTTTAAAAAATATGATCTGAGCACGCTGAGAAAACATAAGTTCTCAAATATTGACGACGTTATTTAAACCTTTTACAATTTAAGATTTTTTTTTAACAACGTAAATGGCTAATCATTTACAAAAACTAAACTTTCGCATAAAAATGGCTTTCTTCCTTTCTTACATCCTTCCGGCTTGCATCGGTATTATTATTCTCTGCCTGGAAGCAGAACTTCTAGTTTTTCTCCAAACCTGTGGTCACCGTTCTCTGTTATCCTCCTTTTGAAGAAGTACCCGAACACTGCGCTGGCACTGTTTGAGTTAATATCGTACAGTGGTCTGGTATACATGTTTGGTAACAAACTGCGCTAGCATGACCAGACCGACCAGAGGTTAGTGGTTCGCCTACTTCCCATGAATTTCGTGCTGGATCGTAGATCTCGACGTCGGTGAGAAAGTTATGACCATCAAAACCTCCTAAAAATAAATAAATAAAATAAAAATAGGTAAAAACGAAATAAATAAGACTTACAATCAGTTTAATTTAACTATCTAGACGACCGGTTTCGCTTTCTACAATTTGCAAAGCATCTTCAGGTCAGTCGGTACAAAGTTAATTAAATGGTGAAATTATAAAAGTCCATATTAGGGTGCTGTCTTATAAGATAAAATAATATAAAATTACAGTAATTATGCCAATATCACATGTCTGTGTTTTTTAATATGAATAAATTGTTTAAGCCGACAAAGTAAGACCCACAAATAGGTATAAAATGATTTATCAATATTGAATTGTAATAAATTAGTAAATAAACAAAACATTACTTATATGCCGGTACAAGATTTAATTATTAATGCTTTGGAGAACATAGTTTAAACTATCCTGTAATTGCTGGTAATGGAGGATCTTTGGTTTTACTATTGTAACTGTTTGATAATTAGCGGGGAAGTTTCTTGAAGAGATAGACATTAACCAATGAAGCAGGAACAAGGTATAGTGTGATTGTTTTATTCAAGAGATATATTTTCAAACAGTTACAACAGTAAAACCGAAGATCCCCCATCATCAGCAATTACAGGATAGTTTAAACTATGTTCTCCAAATCATTAATAATTAAATCTTGTACCGGAATGTAAATAATATTTTGTTTATTTACTAATTTATTACAATTCAATAGACTATTTTATTCCAATTTGTGTTGTAATTTTATCTTATGTTTATCTTTTAATTTAATTTAGCAGCATTTAATTAACTTTGTACCGACTGACCTGAAGATGCTTTGCAAATTGTAGAAAGCGAAACCGGTCGTCTTGGTAGTTAAATTAAACTGATTGTGAGTAAGTCTTATTTCTTTTTATCTATTTGAAATGGACGCACACAGGCAACACATTCATGATTTAAATAAAATAAAACTAAATAATTACACTGGATGAGATGATGAAATAAACCAAGAATTATGAAGTAATTTCATAAGTTTTTGATCAGATTACAAGGCAACTACAGGGTAACATTTCCAGATGCTTAATATATCTGACGATGTACTTTTAGTAGGGAGTTTATAATAAACACTGAAACAGTGAAGAGAATATCTCGAAGAAAAAGATTTAAAGCTTTAAAGATGGCAGTATATGTTCATTTAAAGAAAGTTCATTCCAGAACTGTCAGAATTCGTTTTTGGGACGAAGTACTTTATAAGTTTAACATCTCGAAACACCTTAGTATGTCACTGACAGCATTTCAGCCTACCAATAATATGTAGGAACGACTCTATTCGTTCCCAATTTGACAGAAATAATAAATATTCACCTGCAACATGAAAATATGAAAAAGTAGCAATTAGAGTCATTAACTTTATCCATTAAGATCTTAATGTAGATAAGTAAAGAAGTATGGAAGTAAGAAGTAAAGCAAATAAATTACACGATAATAAAACAAAGAAAAGAGTATGTAAACAAAAGACCATCACCCCATAAAAAAGTATAAACATATGAAGAGGAGAGGAAGATAAAGTAATAACAGTGATCATTTTTATATTTTAATAAATGTTGATTACCTACCCATTGCATATATTTTGCAATCTAATACAGTAACGCTTAGCGCACTTCTGGATACCCTCATAGGCGTCATAAATTCCCAAATATCCCGTTCAGTATCGTAACGTTCAACACAATTAAGCTGTTTTACTCCATCGTATCCTCCAAAGACGAAAACAAACTGATTTATAGCGGCAACACCTAAAATAATAATAAAAAAAATAGATAATATAATATTTGGTGTAGGCATTCATTACAAGTACACTATTTATTATTTAAAATATATTGTGGAAAACAAAAAAAACCTATTACTGGTTAAAAGAATAATACATATATTATGTTGAACAATAATTATTATTTCACGAAGTTTCTTGTATCGATATCTTTTTATAAAAAACTTAAATGCATATAATAAATACATATATACGCAACCCATTACATACACGGTTGGAAGACCAAGAGGTGAATATAGGGCAGATATAGTTTGCAACAGAACAAAGGTTGAAAATTCTATAATCTCTACAGCATATACATCTGTTGTTTAAAGAAAATGTGTGATATTTTTAATTCCGAAAAAATATATTTGCACATAACGATATTGTTAAGTTTGTCTGTGGGTTCAAGGATTAAGTGAAGTACACGTAGTTAAACTAATTTTATTTAAACACTCAAATACAAAGAAACAAAGAACTTACTAATGTAAATAACAAATGTCTCATTAATATTTATCGTATATCACTTGATAAGATAAACACTTCGCTAATCGCATTAAAACTAAACTTCAGACCGCCTTAAATAATTAGATCGTAATTTCTAGATTTTGCGAGTCTATCACACTGAAAGTCGAGTCAGCACTTTCAACCGAAGTTCCAGGAAGAAATCAAGAATAAACCATTAATAGAACGCCAGGTAGAATTGTTTATTCTAGTCCGAGATATTACGGACCGTAATTACAGTCACATAACATCGCATCCTTCTTTCAGGACGTTCGCCCCGAACAGTACCTAAATGGACCAGGTCGGTGGATTCGGCCTTTTATAAGGACATAGTCTCTCTAAAGTTCTTAAATTCTAAAATGAATCTGAGATTTACATTGGAATACGTTGGTGCATCTGATTGACCTATGGATGAGCAGTGCGGCAAGTGATTTCATCCAAATCTCAACTTGTCTTAAACATTGTTTTTTCGAAATTAATAAAATACAATTTTCAAACCGTGTGACCAAATTTTATACCTGTTAACTTTTTTATTTTCTATTTTATGGAATACAAATTAGAAGTTATTAAAATTTTCAATACTATTTATAGTATATGCTCATTCCTCTTTGTTTCTACGCAGTAAACTTTGTGTTATTGGCAAGTTGCACAAAATAGACTATTACGATGTCAGGTTATTTAATAAATTTGATAAACAAAATAATAATTTTATTATTCATTAGGCAAATAATTCTTTATTTGTTAAGTTTTTGAATTTTCATATGTATTTAAATTTCGGACTTTACTTCAGAACGTATTAGATACGATTTATAATTGGTTTCAAATTTTCACTCTCCAAATCTACAGTTATCCAATTTAGTAGATATAGTTCCCATTCTCCTGTAATTTACCCAAACGGATCCCAATCAAACTTGTTGAAACGGAGTCCCACTCAACATAAATTTTTAGAAGTTACTTTTGACACGGAGATATCACGTTAAAAACACTAAACGCAACTGTTTAAACAGAATAAACATTTTAAAAACTCTAGCCTATCACCAATGGAGCGATGAAAAAAAAACTTATTGAAAATCTATAGAGATCTTATTCGCTCCAGATTAGATTATGGCAGCATGCTCTACATGACCGCCTGCAATCTTAAATCTCTAAATTCAATTCAAACTACGTCTTTACGTATATGTCTAGGTGCATTTAGATCTAGTCCCGTTGAAACCATGCGCATTTAATATTTCGAACCTTCCCTTTCATACGACGTCAGCTTCTACTCTCTTCTTTGAGTTTCCGCCAATCCAAAAAATCCAGTTAACAAACTAATCAATGTTATCCATCAAGTTCCTAAAAATAGAGACAGATCTGTGTACCCTCTTTCACAATTAGTAAAACCTTTGTTATTCGATATAGACTTGACAATAACCACCCCCATTAGTACCTCCAATATTCCTCCATGGATCAAAAAGCTTACTACTTTCAACATTAGCCTAACTCGACGTAAGAAAGAAAAAACTTCTATCCGTTTTCCGAGACAATTATTTCAAGAACCAATAAATGCCAAACAATACAATCAAATTCTTTACACAGACTTCAAAAATGGAGAAAATACTGGCTGTGCTAGTCATACAATATCAATTTACACAGTTTAAGAAACACGAATGTCTATTATAGGACGTGCAGCGTACATGCACTCATACGTAAAGATGTTTGAAGTTTTGTGAAATGAATGAAGACTGAAATAAATATAATGTTAAACGTAACATATATATCTCCTTACCTGAACCACTCCTAGGTATATTCATAGGCGACACCATATTCCACTCATTATTCTCGGGATGATAACATTCAACGCTTTTATGTCTCTCGACTCCATCAAAGCCTCCGATTGCGTAGAGTAATCTATTAACTACTGCTACCCCAACGGCCAATCTTTTATAATGCATGGGTTTCACCGCTGTCCACCTGTCAGTCTCTGGATCATAACTGGAAGAAACAAAAGAGATATTATTTTTTAATTTTATTTAGTAAACAATACCAATAACTCACGGTTTGACTGACTACTCACATAATTCGAAATGCTGTAGTTTGAAAGAGGTATAAAAAGAAGAGTATGCAACAGTAACATTATTAGAAAAAATGTATGACAGATTTCATAAAAAATAGATTACCTGTGTACAGTATAAGATAAGAAAACATAATAGGAGTAATATCTATAATTAAAACCAGATTTATTATTGTTGTAAAGAAAACTGTGATGATGTAGTTAATATGGTATGTACATTAATATCGGTTTTTAAGTCGTGGCCTACAATTGTTGGTTTCTGACGTTCCATTTGCAGCTGCGGCAGATATCCGTTCCATCTGCATTATGGTAAGTAAGCGAACTCTTACCGACTGTTGATGTTCCTCGTGTATGTGCTTTGGTTATAATAGGTATTAAAATTTTGGGTACGTCTGGGTAGTTTTTGGTATTCGTAGTGTTAATAGCTACATCCTCTTTAGACGTAGTCTCTCTTTTGCGATTATATTAAGCACCTTTGTCCCTTCGAATAAAATTCGGGGGTTGTCTTGTGTGATAACCATCTGTTCTGTAACGGCTGCTTTTTGCAGTGACCAAGGCGACTGTTGTTTGTATGATATTTTTTCGTTCGTTTTTTTCAAGTTTGGGTACTATTTTATAACGATATCAAAGATAAAAAATTTCTATTAGAAGTTATATTTAGAAGTATAACGAGTACTTACCACTCAACGCTGTTGTGGTATTTATTTCCAACACTTCCTCCCACTGCATACAGAAGACCATCCATTACCGCCACCCCTACTCGATTTCTAGGTGAAGTCATAGGTGAACATGGTCTCCAGTTATCTTTAACAGGATTATATTTATCAACCCAATCGGAATCGTAACTATTGCCAGGACTGTTGTGCCTGCCTCCTACTGCGTAAAATGTACCCTAAAAGTAGAGCTTTTTAATTCTTTTTATAATGAAAACCACTAAAGGTATGTAAGAAGTGTTTATAGAAGGCACGATTTAAAGTATATTTCTGTAAAGTTTAAGATAAAGGCTTCGAAATAAGATGACGACTCGCACACATAGTTACAAGATCGATCTAGCCACGCCTAAGAGGTTCAATCCGAAAACTAAGTAATCACTGTTTTCCTATGTTTCGAATGTTTTTCAGCCATGATATTTCAGCCATTTTTCTTCGATTTTACCCCTCATAATCAGCTGCAACAACTATGGTCTGTTTTTAAACCAGGAGGAGTAATTCAAATTTTCCGCGCCATAATGCTTGTTTGTAATTGGTCGAAGCGCAGCCAAGTTTACTCCACTAAATTATGACATATTGACACTAATGACATTTGTAAAATTTTAAAATTTAAAATTTATATCGACAATTTTCTGTATTTTCTGTGTTATTTCTTACATCTTTAGATTTTTCGTTTGCATTTATATAAAAAACAATTTTTTTTAGAACTATTTAGCGACATATTAGTGTTATTAAGATAACAATATGGATTCAATGCCAAGTACTAGTGGTAATTATTCTTCTCCACCTTAAAAACGCCGAGTAGATTTGGATCATTTATCATCAAATGAGAAATAATATACTATAAACATGTGCAAACATGAAAATTGATAATAATTCTGGAATAAAAATAACAGCCACAGTAGTAAAAATAAAACAGGCAGCAGGTTAGTTTTACAGAATAGTTATTATTAAAATCAAGACTTACTAAAGTAATGTGATAATTTTAGGTGTTGCGAATTCAACTATTTACAAGAATAGAATTTAGAACAATTAAAGAATATAAGCAGACTGGAGCAATAAAATGTCCTAAAAATATTGAAGGTCGACCTTATATTCTTGCAACATAGGATGAAAGAGTTAAAACATCTATACGACAGATAGTACACAGCTTCTTTTTCAAGAATGAAATGCTCATTTTAGGTAAAATTTTAAGTGAAATTAACAACCGCTCAGATATTCCAAAATATGTGTCGTTCATTATTATATAAATTCTTTAAGCAAATCAATTTGAAGTAAGTACAAATATCGGTATGTAAATATGGGTTAGCTACAATTATATATAGTAAAATTAACTAAAACATTTTATAGGTTTCATTTTTATAATCAGGTATATTATTGTTACTATTAAATATTAAGTTTTAAGTTTTTATTTGTATACTCTACTGGAATGTTGTCAAGTATTTTGGTTCAACAGATATAAGAACATGAAAAGGGAAGAAAAGGAAAAAAAGGATATTTTTACTTTACATATGCAGATTCAATGCAGCAAATATTACATAGCATAACTATAGATTGTTTATCTTACTGTTTATAGGATGATTGATTTATTGTCTATATTATGAATGTCTTACCATAGTTATTTTTTAGGGGAAATTATTCAAAGAATAGTTTATACATTGGGCTGCTGACCAAAAACAAAACTTTCTTGCTCAAATATCTGAAATAGATTCAGTTTTTGCTGAAAAAATAAATCAAGAAATTCAAAATGGTGTAGTTATTCATTAATCTCACTAAGACATAAATAGAGATATTTTGGAAGACTAAAAAAATTTTAAAATTTTTATTTTTACATTCATTCCGAATATATATTATGCACAGAATATTATATAAATCGATTTCTGACTCTTTAAGTTGTTTTTGTAATAACTTGGACTTGGTGATATGCGATAATAGTATTTAATGTAATATTTTTCTAGCTGATATATATATATATATATATATATATATATATATATATATATATATATATATATATATATATAATAAATAGAGTTTACAGTGTTTATAAATTTATAAATGTATGATATTTATATCTAATTATCATAAGAAAAACGGCAACTATCTTTTAAATTTGTGTATACTTGTTAAGAAGCATTTTCATTTTGTTTTCATCACAATAAAAGAACATTAGTAATGTTGTGTTTTACTTTGAATATATTGATACAGTTGGTTTTATTCTTCCTGTTGTAGATCATCACAGGAAAACTACAAAATTATACTAGAATGTAACATAATAGATTGAATTAGTTGATTATATCACAGGAATCCAGTATTTTTTAGTAAATTTTATTTATTGATAACGATAACAAATGGGACAAACTCGCTGTCAAAATTAAACAAGAATCCAGCATTAAAGAAATTGCAAGTACACACTTATTTATACAAATTTATTGGTTTGCATTTTAGTGCTTCAAATAGATCCTTAAGATATTGATACATAAGTTAAATCTATCTAATGAGGTAACTGATTACCATGCATGAAAAGTAGGATCACACCTATATTTGAACCACAATTTATTCTGTGATATGAAACATGAAAAAGTCAATTCTAAAGCAGTGAATGAGAAGGAATATGTAAAACAAACTGGCTGAAGCAATTCAGGAGATTGGATTATTAAGCTTAAAAATAATGATCAAAGTCAATGTTAATTCTTCTGGTAAAAAAAACCTAGATTCAAGAAATTAATCACACCAGAATAAGAATATGGTCTACGCAGTTTAAAAGAACAGTATTTCAGAAATCTTTGAACTCTCTCTAACTTTGTGATACATGCTTAGCTTTGTTGCATATAAGATCTATTTGCAAATTAAAAGACAAATTTCTGAGAAAAACCATACTTAGATCTGTAACATTATTGACTCTCTGGATCAAAATATTCTCTAAATTAAGTACCATCGACTCAAAAGATCTCTAAAACTGGATCACCCGATATTTAAATATATATACATGGGACCAAATGTGAAAAACGTCCTTTTTTATTGTAATAATTGTAATATATATCGGAAATGAATTAAAAAAAATATTATTCAAACATAAAGTTAGGTTAGAATTGACGTGTAAGGTTGTCCGATATTGATTACTTGATTACCGCAAGGCCGAGATATACAACAAAAAAAGAAGATGTATTTGGTGAGTTTTCTAGTAACTTTCTTGGGTGTGAATCTGTCTTTTTGGTTTACTCCTCCTGGTTAAAAAACAAAGTATAGTACTTATTATTTCTAAGTGTGTGCCCCAAATATGCTGTCTTTCGCCTTTAATGGTGGTCAAAAGTTCTCTGTCTCTTCCCATTATATGCAACACCATTTCGTTCGTTATATTATCTTCTTCTTATGGTGCCCTATCCAATTAGTGAATGTTGATGACAATTCTGGCATACTCCTCTCGATCTTGTGTGGCTCTAAAAAGTGCATCGGCATCGAGGTTTGATAAATCCCTTATGTTTTTAAGCCATGAGTATTTCTTTCTTCCGATGCCTCGTTTTCCTTCTATCTTCCCTTCCATAATAAGCCTTAAGAACTGGTACTTGGAATTTCGAAATATATGACCCAGATAAGCAGTTTTTCTTCTTTTTATTATTGGCAGCAATTCTCGTTCTCTGCCCATTCCATTTAATACTTCGAAATTTGTTGTGTGATCTGTCCAGGGAATTTTAAGTAGTCTTCTAAATACCTACATTTCAAAGGCCTCGAATCGGTTCATCACATTGGCCTTTATGGTCCAGGTTTCTACACCATATAGCAGTATGTAAATGTAACATTTTACAAAGCGACATCGAAGCGTTAAGTTGAATCTGATGTTGCTTAGCAAGGTTCTTATATTGGTAAATGCTGTTCTGGCTTGATCAATCCTGCTACGTATCTCTATGTCTGGATCTAGATCTTCAGTTATTCAACTAATATTATCGGTCCATAGTATCTTTAACATTCTCCTAGAATAAAATTCTCCTAAAAGCCACATCTCAAAAGCTTCCAGTTTTCTCAATAAGCACAACATTAACAATCCAGGCTTCAACACCATAAAGAAGAATAGAGTGGATATAACATTTTACCATCCGATATCGGATTTGCAGATCGAGTCTTTCGTTACTGAGAAATTTCCTCATCTTCAAAAAGGCTGCTCTTGATTGCTCTATTCTTGAGCGAATTTCTGATTTCGAATTCAAATCTTCCATAATCCAGACTCCTAAGTATTTCATTTTGTCCACTTGCTCAATATCTTCATTGTTTATCTGGGTCCTTGTAATAAGTTTGCCCCTCTTACTGATAAACATGGTTTTTGTTTTCTTTATGATTATTGTTAAACCAAACTGTTCCCCCAGTTTCACAAATTGTGTTTAGTAACGTCTGCAGGTATGTCTCACTTTCAGCGATAATGACTGTATCGTCAGCATAACAGATGTTATTTATATTTTCACCATTTATCTTGATTTAAAGTTGTCTTAAATAGTAATGATAAAAGTACATAGCCCTGTCTCAATCCTCTACTTATCTGTTGCGCATCCGTGCTATTTCCATCTAATGTTACCACAGCCTGTTGGTTACAATAGAGATTTCTCACTATGTTAATGTAATTTTTGTGAGTCCTTTTCTCTTTAGACATTCCATCAGAATGTTGTTTAACTTTGCGAAAGCTTTCTCATAGTCTATAAACGCAACGAAAAGATCTTAAGTGAACAAAACAAAAGTAAAAAAAGTAGTAGTAGAACAAAACAAAAATATATACTAATAGTTTTACCTACCTTTATAAAAGCTCCTCCCAATCCCGATCTAGGAACAGTTAGTCTGGCTAACCTATACCAAACCTTTTCATCAACATTATAACCTTCTACAACATCTAATGATTGTCTGAGATATCCACCGGCTACATATATTACTCTAGGAATATTGGGACATCTTTCTTTGACGCCAGTTCGAACGTGTAACGTTAAATCCTAAAAAAACACATATATATGAAACTATTATAATTAAAAAGAGTCAAAAACGTCCTTATTAAACATGGGTGATTATTCTAGTGAAATAGATTCGACTCTACACAGAGTATATTAAAGGATATCCTTCTTTTTCATGGCGATTTAGATTGCGTTGTACAGCATATATCTTCGTCTATTTCAAAACTATTCTAGATACGCAACTATTACTTTTCACAACAATTTCGCTGTACACAGATGTTTGTAAAAGTAGTTTTGTATTTACATATTTTAATATCTTTTATTACTCTATTATAATATGGCCTTACTGTATATTATTTTATTGCAGTATGATTTTAGTTATGCACAAAGTGAGGTATAACAGATATAAAGAACTTTAAACCTATTAGCTGGTTATCTCACATTTATAAGACTTCTATCAACTTTGTGAGTAAACAAGATTTAGGGTTGGATACGGAACAAATGATCATTTGCAAACCATTAAGTCGTTAAATGAAAAAAATCATTGAATATAATAGACCCTCGATAATTTGTGTTTGTATTTGACTCTCGTCAACCAAACAGAAATATTCTATGCTTTAAGGCAACGTAGAATGGACCACTGATACATATTCCTCATCAAATACATCATAAGCATGCTACAGCTTATGTGAGACTTAGTGCGGATACTGACACCTTTCGTATTGAAAGAGGTGTTCGACAAGGGAACAACATATCTTCTAAACTGTTTATAACTTTGCTAGAATACGCCTGTAAAACAATAGATTGGAATGAGAATAGCATCAATTTAGATCAAAAATTTTTAAATAACACTGCTCAAAAAAAATCAACTTTTCTTGTGACATGTATAGAATATGGAGTTCATTATGTACAATATCATCAGAAATCAGAAAGTAAACTTATTTCCAGCAGTAATCTGCGTGCAGACTAGGACTTCATCTACATTGGTAACACTTTTCCATATCTACAACGTTTTGGTGGAGCCGTTTTCCCTGTTAATCACTTCAGCACCTAAATTAGGCAGTAAGTAACTCAGTGACAAGATCTTTGTAATTCTGAGCTTTGAAATTGCGAAGAAAATTGGACACAACTATTTTAAAAGCTCTCTCTTAAATCATTAAATTTAGCCTGGGAAATTAGACGGAGTTTTGAAGAACATTCTGTTTCTTGAAATAGTGGATCATTGTCTATTTCCTCTTCTAATTGTATATTATCAGATGTAATCTTGAAACTTTCAACTTCTTCTTAGTCCACACTCAAAATCTTTGGTGGTTTTAAGATAGAAAGATTTTTGCCATGTTCGACGGGGCGGATAGCTGATGGTAAATAGGGATACTGCACAATATTATTGAACTTCAGTCCTATGCTCTGAATCTTCGTGAGACAAAAGTAACAATCTATGACATAAGCTGTCGACCATTTTCTTCGTATTGATTAAATAATGGAAATAAAATACCTTGGAATTACGTGTCTAGCTATGGAGATCTGGATAAAGAAATGGGAGATCAAGAACAAAAAGCAAATAGACTAGCCGAATGCCTTAATAACACTATATGGAGAAATACACATTAACACTGAGATTAAGTCAAGAATTTATAAAGCCAATGTAATACCAATATTGACATATGCCTCAGAAACGATACCCGACACAGCTACAACAAAAAGGCTACTGGTAACAGCAGAGATGAGAGTACTGAGAAGAATTACAGGAAATACGCTGAGAGATCGAAAGAGAAGTGAAGACATTAGAAGAATATGTAACGTACAGTGTATAAACGAATGAACACTAAATAGAAAAAAAGAATGATCAACAGAATGGGGGACACCTGTGTGGTCAAATAGCAAGAGATAAATCAACAATAGGCAGAAGTATCGGACCATTGGACAAAACATGGAGTGACAACCTTCCGTACAGGTATTAATCCGCCAATGAACAAGCAGAATTGGTTATAAATAACAAGAAACACATTGGAAATACCAAAAAATCTCCATGTCACAAAATATGTGTTGACCAGTGTAATCTTAAGTTTGCCGATGACGTCGTTCTTTTAAATATTTGGGCGATGAGATTAGAATAAGTCGAGAATACCATAAAATCGAGCTGAAGAGAAGGATAAACATAGCTTGGGCTGCATTTGAAAAGATGAAGAATATAAATATGACATAAAAAGAGTGACTACAAATTGAAAAACATGAAGGCGTGAGAAGCATGCGAGTGATCTATGTTCAGCAGTGGACGTTAGAGGCTAGATAATGATGATATATATTTACCTTAAATATTCTAGCTAAGTACTCTTTGCACGCTGGAGTTTTCTTTATCACTTCACAATTGGTCATTTGATCGTTTAAAAACTTTGGAGGTAGAAATTGACATCGAACAGCGCTAAGAATTGGTTCCATTTTCATATATCTATTTTCTTCGTCGTACTTTACCCATTTCAATACGGCGTTATATACTTCCTTCTCATCTTGTACGTTCAGTTCGTCTTTTTTTATTAAGGTGATTATTTGCATTGCCGTCAGTTGTAAGAATTCCTCTTCTTGACTGATCTAAAATATAATGATGGTAATTAATTATTATAAAAGTAAAAATATAAAACGATTGGCACATACCGATCCAGTTTGTGCGAACCAGTCAGTGTAAACAAAGAGGGGATCAAACGGTCCGTTCTTAAAGTGTTTCTACTATACTTCTTACTTATACTATACTATAAAATCCAAATCTACTCCTAGATTGCGAAAGCATACTAAAATTAAAACAATTGAATCTTTACAAATGATTATACAAAAAGAAACCTTGAAGGCTAACCGACATACCAGACTGCAGAACATCATGGTTAAGAGGTAAAATAGAACAGTGATAAATGGCCGTATTTACCATCATTCCTTATTAAATGGATGGCCCTAAACGAAGACAATTAAAAGCATTCCTGACTCTAGTTAAGATACTTCTTAATTGCCGCTCTTAAGAATAAAAAACAAAGAAAAATAGATATTAAGGAGTTACTCTACCCATTTGAATAAAATATGGAAAGGCATAAATAACTTGAAAACAAAACTAACTGAAGATGATTATAATTGTCACAAAAAAAATTAAATGCAAGAGATGCTGTAAGATAAAATTATAGAGATAGCTGGAGTAGAGCTCCTTAGACTGACCTGCATTTTATCGGGGTAGGATTTCGTGTGGGAGTCCTTGTACCCAGGACTCTCACACGACAAGTATTTGCGCATATCATCTGATAGCGCATCAGAGTGCTATAGGGAGGAAACGGACGGTCTGGAGCATTGAGGCGGGTGTTGCAGTTGATATATAAACATTTATATAACTTTAACAGACTTTGTGGTAGTTTTGATTTTCTCGGTATTCCAAGATTCCGTGTACATAAAATACAGCTGTGTTAAAAACTACATATTACGAGACGAGCCATCTGCAAAATGACACAGACGTGTATTTGAGAAAAGAATGAGATAAGAGACGGGTTCCATATGCCATATGAGATAGACGTGCGTTTTGGGTTAAGAGTACCTGAGACACGTGGGTTTGAGTTGAGGGTTGTGCTGGTTAGTAATGTGGTCGGTATAGGATATTTGTCAGTATAGGATATCGTCATTCGACGATAGAGCCTCAATTTTCTTGCAGGTAGCGTCTGTGAGAGTCCACGACTAAATTATATGACGCGAGGGTACTCTAGAGAAGTCTGTCTCGAATTTATTTTTCTTTTATTTAGGTAAAGAAATAATAAATCAGACTTACTCACAATCAATTTAATTTAACTATCCGACGACCGGTTTCGCTTTCTACAATATGCAAAGCATCTTCAGGTCTCGGTACAAAGTTAAACAAATGATGCCGGTACTCTATTAATAGATGGATGGTAGAACATGTTTAAAACTACTGTATATTGTTGAATGGAGAACTCAATACTATTATTGCAGTTGTTTGACAGTAAACGGGGAGTTCTTGAGGAGGTAGATTTGATCCAATGAATTTGAGATGTGTGTGAGATTGTTTGTTAAATGCAAGTGGTGTAATATATTATTGTGTTATTGAAAGTTATTTATATTTATTCCAGAGATATATTTTTTTTTGAAATGTGTGTTATTTATTGAGTAATTGTTTTATGAAGGTGACATTTATGACAATGAATAAGTGTAGATGTAAAATTGTGTGGGTGTGCAATTATTTCCAAACTTGTAGTTATCAAATTACTTTGATAAAGTTCTATTGGCAATGTGTTAATTATTGGAATGGTCAAGTGAATAAAATGAATAAAATGGTAAAATACAAACACTTAAGGATAATTTAAACACACTAAAAACAGAGAACACTTAGAAGGGACGAAACAAACATTGAATTTAAAAGGGGAAGGACTTTAAATCACTACATCATAGTATCTGGCACAAATTTGTGCCAGATACTATGATGTAGTGATTTAAAGTCCTTCCCCTTTTAAATTCAATGTTTGTTTCGTCCCTTCTAAGTGTTTTCTGTTTTTAGTGTGTTTAAATTATCCTTAGGTGTTTGTATTTTACCATTTTATTCATTTTATTCACTTGACCATTCCAATAATTAACACATTGCCAATAGAACTTTATCAAAGTAATTTGATAACTACAAGTTTGGAAATAATTGCACACCCACACAATTTTACATCTACACTTATTCATTGTCATAAATGTCACCTTTATAAAACAATTACTCAATAAATAACACACATTTCAAAAAATATATCTCTGGAATAAATATAAATAACTTTCAATAACACAATAATATATTACACCACTTGCATTTAACAAACAATCTCACACACATCTCAAATTCATTGGATCAAATCTACCTCCTCAAGAACTCCCCGTTTACTGTCAAACAACTGCAATAATAGTATTGAGTTCTCCATTCAACAATATACAGTAGTTTTAAACATGTTCTACCATCCATCTATTAATAGAGTACCGGCATCATTTGTTTAACTTTGTACCGAGACCTGAAGATGCTTTGCATATTGTAGAAAGCGAAACCGGTCGTCGGATAGTTAAATTAAATTGATTGTGAGTAAGTCTGATTTATTATTTCTTTACCTATTTGAAATGGACTCACACAAGCAACAAATTCATGATTTTTCTTTTATTCTTTATCTCTCTCTTTCTCGTTCTATATATATATATATATATATATATATATATATATATATATATATATATATATATATATATATATATATATATATATAGATATATATATATATATATATATATATATATATATATATATATATATATTATATATATATATATAGATATATATATATATATATATATATATATATATATATATATAGATATATATATATATATATATATATATAGATATATATATATATATATATATATATATATATATATATATATATATATATATATATATATATATTAATCACTGATTACAATGAAACATATTGTGTAACCCTTACCTGGCAAAAATGTTGTTCTATATACTGATTGGCTTTTTTACATAAGTCTATACAACCATGTTGTTCTGCAAAACTAGCTATACCTATAGCATTACTAGGATCTAATTGACGTTCTAAAAAATTACAGCATGCTTGAATCACATTAGGAACCTAAAAATTAAAAACAGAATATTACAATTTAAAAATGATTCGAATTTCACAATTTCGGTTAACCAAAAGTAGTGTAAGCAGGATCGCCTTTCATCTTGACTATTCCATTTATTACTATTAAAAATTACCCCCAAATAATTGCAGATATTTACAAGATCACTCGTGATTAATGACTCGTTCAAACCTTTTTGAAAATAGGGGTTTAAAAAAATTAATTTAAATGATCTTATTGCCTTATAAAAAACTAATATTGCACTGCAAGATACCAGACGCATGAAGAAACTGCATAATGATACCAACGTTCGAGAAAGGAGATAAAGAACATCCCAACAATTATAGAAGTATAAATCTACTGAACACCGCACTGAAGTTTATCACAAAAGTCCTAACCAACAAAATCAATAAACTAACAACTTTATCACATGAACAACAAGGATTCAGATCCGGAAGATCCTGCGTAGACGCCGTTTTGTACAAAGACAAATCACAGACAAGTCCATCGAGTACAATAAACCAGCATATCTATATTTTATAGACCTGACAAAGGCTTTCGATTGCATCCAAGTAGAAAACGTCTTACACCTACTATATAAAAGAAACATACCAATCAATATTATACAAACCATCGAAAACATATACTTCCATAATCGAATACAGGCAAAGATAAATGGAAAATTAACACAGTGTATACCAGTACAAAGCGAAGTCAGACAGGGTGACTCGTTAAGAATAATTCTCTTTAATATAATAATGGACGGCATAATACAAGCAGTACGGCCATAGTTACAGAATGGGGAACAAAGAAATCCAAATATTACGTTATACCGACGAAGCTGCATTAATCGCCGAGACAGAAGACGAGCTCCAAAGAATAACACACATCTTCAATACAACAGCCAAGAAATAGAATATGATAATATCAGCAGAAAAAACCAAATGTATGACAACATCTAAATACCCACTACGATGTAAAATCGAAATTGATGGGAAAATAATAAAGCAGAAAGCAAGGTTTAGATATTGGGAATAGATATAACTAGGTACGCAGATGTTGAAGAAGTACGACACAAAGCTTAAACACAAGTAAAGCGGCGGGATCTCTTAAAACACAATCGGGAAGAGCATCTAAGACAAGACACAAAAACAAGAATCTATAAAGCAACAATTAGACCTATATTAACATACACGGCGGAGACAAGACCTAACACATCTAAAACGAGACGACTACTAGAAACAACAGAGATGAAAATACTTCGACGAATATCAGGAAAAAGTCTGTTGGATAGGAAGAGAAGCGAAATCATAAGAAGAGCATACAATATAGAAGACATGAATGGATGGGTGACAAAACGGAAACAGGAGTGGAACGAACACATTAGTAGAATGGCAGAGGATAGGACAGTACGAATAGCATGAGATAAGTCACCATATGGACGAAGAATTGTATTGGCAGACCAAGAAAAAGATGGTGCGACAATTTAAACAATTTAGGAGGCTAATATTGAAGAAGAAACAGACTTTAAAGTCTACATACAAGAAGGAAGGAGAAGATTCCCTTATTCTTATTTCTCTTAAAAAAAACTTACAAAAGGGTTTAATCACATATTTTAGGAGATATCAGAACGCGTACACTGGAGCATTATAAGATACACATAATGTGCTATTAAGGCACACACATACTTTCACCCATCCTTACAAACTAATAAGGGTTGTTTTTTAAGTTATAATAAAATAAATTCATACCATTTTAATTTAAAAAATTACTGTATTTATAGTTTCAATTAAAAAAAAATACTACAACTATTCGAATTTCTTCGCAAGAGGTGGTTTTTATAAGGGTAAAAATTATATGGTAAAAAATTAAAACAGTAAAGAAATCTTAATTAAATGTCACTTATAATTGAATAATTAAAAATTGCTTGAATTTACAATTATACAATTTTTTTCTAATAGGGGTCGTTTTCACCTCTAAAAAATAAAAAAACAACTAAGGGCGTGGGGGTGAATGTTAAGTATAACCTAAATCCAAATTTACATGCAAATCAGTGGAAACAAGGTATTCAACGACATTGTTTTAATTATAACTAATCTAAGGGTGAGATTTAGGGGTTAAACTGTAATAATATTTTAAATTATATTGTTAATATTGACTTTCACTCACTTCATCTAAAGATGATTTGAATCAATTATATATATATATATATATATATATATATATATATATATATATATATATATATATATATATATATATATATATATATATATGTCTTCATATCAAGGCGAGATCCGTTTGTATCATAAGCTATACAAAATGAGATCCGTTTTGCAAGGCGAGATCCGATTTTGGATCTCACCTTGTATTCACGTGTATATAGTGACATCTCGATGTAACAATGATGGGGGTACAAAAAAATCGATTTTTGTCTGGACCTCATTTTGCACCCCTTTTGGTGAATTTTATATTGCAGTAGTTCCACTAAATTCGCTGTAGAGGCAGTGCGAGCGATCCGTTGTGTATATGCTAAATATACATTTTGTAGACAACCCGAGATCCGGTAAATTTGGCAACATCGCAAATGAATTTTACAGTCAGACCTCTCACTCCCTTCGGCTTATTTCCGGTTTGAATAATATTATTTACATTATTAAAGAGCTCTGTCCAGAAAGGCGATTGTCAAATATCTCGAGAACTAGACGCCGTATCGAAAAAACTTAGGAATTCTTTTTTAATGGTTTTTTAAAATCTATATACTTATGCAATAGCAGGGTTCTTATGCTTCCTGCGAACGCGGTGGGTGTAGCAACTTTGAATTTTCAACTGGAACCCTTCATTTTTATTTAAATAAACATTTTGAAATTTGATTAGAACTATTATGGATATAGATATAAAATTAGAATAGTTAATTAAATTAGAAATTTAGAGTTGAAAATACACAACTTTTGTGTAAATCTATAATAGCTTCTTTAACCAGTGGGAAGAGCTTCAAAATCGTCGTTTTGATGACATTTTTAGGAATTAGATTATTTTAAGTAATTTTTTAGATAAAATTATGTAGAACACGTTGGTAAGTACTCGAAGTCTAAAAAATTTCGGAGACATTGTTTATTTGTAGTATTATTTTTTTACAATTTTTCTTCGCATATCTTCTCCACTGTTTGTTTTACAAAAAATGTCAAAAACTTATTTTAATCGCTTTTAAAAGACCTACAAAATAAATCTAACCGCGTTCAATTTGAATGAGAGTTACAAACACAAATCTGTTTTGCATATCATTTATAATTAAGGGACTAACTATGCTGTTCACGTACTATATTAAGATTCAACGGGAATATTTTTCAATATATGTAGTTCATTTATGCTAAACTTGGACACTGTACGTCAAATAGTTTACGAGCTATAGCTTTATAAACAAATTAACTTTATATTTCCTTTAAATTCGTTTACTGAAGAAAATCCAAATTTAGCTATACAGCTCGCACTCCCTCGTAGGGGAAAATTCACTCATCCCAGATACCCACGTTATCAAAAGGATTGACCTGTGGGACTCTTTCTGTGTTCGATTCCTAGGTGACTTGGTGCATCGGGGTTTGTCCCAAAAATTTTCATACATTATTATCTAGTATTATATAAAGCTTATTAAGGACGTTATAACGGCGTTAAAATTCAAAAGCTTGTGATATATAAAACATCTAAAATTGCAACGGTTTTTCCCTGGCAGCAAATTTCAGTTTATCACCTTTTTTGTAACATTTCACTTGGGCCATAATATATTTACAAGAACCAATGAATTTGATCTCGTTTCCGTTTACATGAGCATTGGAGCCCCTGTACAGTCTGACAATTAGAAAAAAACCAATATAATAATTATTCGTCACAAAAAGGTAAAAATAAACTCATCTTTTACACCTATTAGGAGTAGAGTATATGTATGTATGTTTCTTCAACTTGGATTCCGTGCTTAAAACTGGTACCAGCTCTACATTTTCTTTACTCCAGCCAGTTAGCAACAGATTCGGGAGTCAAAATCTTGGTGTCACACTACATACTCATACCTTCGTTTGGATGAGTATGTACACGAATATTATATATTATACTGTCTGAAGTAGGAGAAAGTTTATATGGACCATTACAAAGATTGTTAGTACTGGTCAAATACAAAACCAATCCTTTTAGGGTTGTAGAGGTTCTTGAACACTATTGATTTTAAAATTCTTGCATAGTCGCCAAATGATTTGCAGTTGGAGGGTTTGCCAACGACTTGGATTAAACTCATACCTTTAGGAATGTGGCACTTTTGTTACTTTATAATGGTAATGGTAGATATTTAGACATAACTGTAAACTGTCCTATTATATTACCTAAGGCAGATTTATTTGATGGTATCGATAAAACTCCTACAGGTACAAGTGACATTGAATATGCTGTAAATTCATATTTGAAAATATTCTCATAATATTTATGTTACTTTTAATTGCCTTGGTTGTTAGTATTTTTTATAAAAGCTCTTGCTTAGCATGAATAATTTTTTTCTTTTCAGAGACAGTTTTATAGTGTTGGAAATGTTGAAAGTACTTCTTGTATGCTGATAAAAATTGGGAGTTCTAACAGTAAGAAGAAATTTTGCTAGGCTTTTCTCCATTTTTTTTGTATATTTAGTAAGGGTATTTGAACATTTGGCGATGCAATCTTATTAGCTGAAATTACGAGAAGACGATCTACGCTTTTGAAAAATACATTAAATCGTAAAAAACTGATCATGTAGTTTTTGTACAGAATATTCGTCAATTTTCATCCGTTTTTTTTTTCTATTGTCTACGTTTTGACTTGAGTGGTTGCTTAGGTCTCATGATGCACGAAATTCATCTACCATCATGCCAATCATATTGTAGCTTAACAACCATTCGTCTAGTTTGGTGCTGGTTTTAATCAATCTCACGATTTTTCCTGCATCTTTTGAGTTTGTATTTATATGTTTCCAGCTGGATCTACAAATAGT